TCTAGCTTGGATGAGTCGGCGAAAGATGACAAGAACATTGATACCAAGTTGTGGCAAGCCTCGATCACCGTAATCGGAGAGCATCGTGGGACGGGAAATTACCGCCCATAACAATAAGAAGATATCCAGCTGAGCCCGAAAAGACCGGCAGTAGAAAGTCACCTGGAAATCTATACACTATCCTTATGTCAAGCTTTACAGCCACACAGTATAGCAGCTCAACCCAGAAAAAGAGTACACACACCCAAGTCGGTGTAGACTCTTTGCCGCCTTTTGCGGTATGAGAGCTCCATGCAACAAGAGAATCTCAGGCTCAAGGAAGCATTTAGGAGCAATATTTGGGACATGAGGGATGAATATCATAAGACACATCTTAGACCTTGTCAGTCTTGGACTGAAAATCCCGGCTTTAGAGAAATGTAGACTTCAGCAGGCAGGAGTCCCGCAACAAGCTCCGTATTGACGAAATTATATGCAAAGGATCTCGTGATGAAATTGGAGATCAGTTTGAGCATGAATAAGATGGCTCTTGAAGACACCTCAAGCATACAAAGGAGAATGGCAGTGCTTCTTGACATCCTTATATGGCGAACTGAGCACCAAGCTGTTCACACCCTTTGCTGAGAGGAAAGACCTTCGAAAAGGCCGAGGTACTGTTTTTATTCAGTGAACCAGCCAAGTCAGCGATCAAAAACTATACCGATGCCCGATCGGTCGGACGTGACTTCGTGTCGAACTTCCAAACTCCACGTCGTCGACCTTCTGATCTAAGCGATATTCCAACCTCTGAGCTTCACATCGGGCTGTCAGACCCTCAACTCGTACAGCGCAAACATGACAGCATCACTGCTAAACTTTTAACTGCTAATGTCCCTCTTGATCAGAATCTCGACTCGGCAAGAAAGCTAATCATGACTTCTCATTACTCGCTGATGCACATAAAAGTCATGTCGAACGAATCGCCCAAACGAGCTGGTAGCTAGTTCGGGAGGGATATCCACCAGTACAGGCTCAAAGAAGACCTGAAATTATGCACCGGGAGTGCGGCCTGTTCGTGAATTTGGTGTCGCTCTTCAGGCGCAGCAGCCCACCACTTATCCGACTCAAAACAAACATCTTTCATCTTCATGACTTGCATAGACCCAACTGACTGGATCAAAAGAAGCAGCTCTTACCATTGATTCCAGCTACTTATTCCCCGATTGGATGCTGTTGATATCTCTCTGACATTGGGTTAACTCCTCTGGCACTGACTCGATTCTCCTCCTCAAAACCCTCGCTACATTCAATCTTGTTGTCCTGTATCACCTCAGTGAAGATGAAGCAACCTCCACTGGACCCTGCCATGGAGAGAGGTCTCACCGTTGCCAGCGTTCAGTCCGCTCAGACAAACTCAATCTACTTTCAGTGGTGCCTACCCTTGAAGATATTCTTTCTGCCGGGTAGCGAGATTAAAAGACTTGTGAGCCACATCTACCTGGACAGCCAGGGTTTCCTATCGACAGTGAACAAGATCGACATGAGATAGCCTTTTCCAGTCTCTAGGATCTAGAGCTTCACCGTTGCCTTACAATCTGACCAAGATACAAGCCTCTAACAATTCAAGATCACCATCTCTTCTACTAAGGCTGGCTGATATCCCTCTGTCTATCATCTTTCAATATATCATCGACGGAGGCTTTTGTGAAAGCTGTTAGGATCGGGCTAAAGAGGTGAGCAGCCCGACAGAAGAGATGGAGTACATCGAGCCCACCAAGCCTGAGCTCAGCCAAGTCACCTTGCATCAGAGACCCATACAAGGCACTTCGATTCCATATCTTGCTCAAGCGACACAAAGCTAGGAGTGGCCCGATCTGTCATCCACTGCCCACTAAGTTCTCTCGGCTGGTTTAAGCTCTTAGCCACAAGTCTGAGCTGCAAATAATACTTCTAACTCACAACTTAGACATCCACTGCTCACGTGGGCTCCTTCAGCTACACGCCATGGCAAATTTCATTTTGTAAACCGATCTAGCACAAGATTAGTCTCGTGGCTGAAGTTGTTACTACATCTGCAATACGGGTCAAGACCCTGGGAACATGCTGCACCAGGCCATGGGAGGACCAGGCAATTTTGGTGGCATGAGCCTATTACTACACACGAGTATAAAGAAGCAACTTGGGCGACCGAATCTTTCCACTGAACAAACAGCAACAGTAGCTTCGAACCTTGACATCATCAAGCGTATGTCAAGTACACTGAGCAAGAGCTGTGGGTTAATTTCAACAAGCTCCCACACCTATCACGTGTTAAAAACTCATGTTCGAAGCTCGTGTATGCCAGAGGCTTTCAGAGAGCTGAGATGCTGTCCGTCTTGCTATGGAGATTGAACCAAACTGCGGAACCTCTCATATTAACATATCGCCGTGAAGCCGCATAACTATCGCCAGCCGAGTAACTTGCTAAGAAAGTATTTCTTTTCCGCCACAAATATACACATCCCTCAACTATTCACACAAGGAGGCCTTTATATATCAATACGGGCCTTTACGACAACACTGAGAGGAGCGAGTCATTCGTATCTGACTCTTTGCTGTCAAACACAGCATCATGTGCAAGTTCAACCCCGGCACGTCAAGTCAGCACTCTCGTACCTTTCAAATACAAGAAGCCTGAGATAATAATTATCCCTTCTTGCTCTTTACAACAGACAAGCAGGAGACCTTCCCTACGCAAAGGGAGCTGTGGGTGGTCCACGAACGGGTCTCCTTATGTCTCCAAAATCACACATGATGAGACAGTTTCGTGAGTCAGCCTGACTGAACTGCTCACATCAATTCCCTCAACGCCTAAAGACTCGAACTTTTATGACGTTTAGGCGACCGTCTCTTCAATATTCTCGAAAGAGCTGACATTGGTTGAAAGAAAGGGTCGTCGAATCTTGCCGCATTGCATGGGATGCCTTGCCAGTTTCGCATCTAGCTCACCTCTGCCTCCATTCAACGAACATGGGGAAGAGGAGTTCCCCGAAATTTCAAGCCTTGAGATGATTCTAAGCATGAGGCTGGCTCTTCATCTTCCTAACACTCCTGGAACCTCCACTACCTTAATTTGACCCGACTTGGTGCAACAACTGTTTTGGGGGTCCATGAATGCCTTTCCCAAGTGGTAACAGGGAATTACTTCTTCATGGCAACACTGAGAATCCCAGGAGACGTCCAAAATCCCTTTTTTGTTCGCACAGAGAACCTATCACAGCCGTTGATCTACGACAGGCATATTTTCACGAACTAGATGCCTCAGCCCTACGGCCAGGTCTGCAGCACAAAGAGCTATTCCAAGTCCTGTAATCAAACCCAGATGTTGCCAATAGATGAACGCTTTTCGCCTCAAAAGAAAAGAATCGGCCACAAAACAAGCACTGGAAGATGCACCTCATTGTTATTTTAAATCAATTCCCACACACAGCTTTACACGATATAAAGTCCTTGAGAAGTATTTTGGAATCAGAAACCATATCAGAACCACTGGACATGACGTTCGAAAGCTTGCGCTCTGAGAAGCGTACTCAAAGTGACGGCGTTTCTTCTTGTCATTTTTACTCCCTGTCCTGTTCGAGATATCCCAGCGTTCTGTTCATAAAATACCTGCAACTTTACTGCATTTTCAGCATCTGCGGCTCGCTCGGCTGAACAATCAACTACACTGAAGTGTCGGATATCGACATACGTGGGGACGGAGACGAGGAGAACGATTTGCAAGTCAAAAGCAATCACGACGAAGATGGCGATTTTTACACCGGGCTGTCTCTTCAGACGCAAGGTTTCACCTTGTTCAACGCCTCTTCAAAAGTATTCACTTTACTTGTGAGAATATAATGATCACCACCAGAATCTGGATGGTTTGAGTCAGAAGGAGCGAGATCTTCTCAACAAGCCCAAACTCATGCCTGATGCGCTTCTTTTATCAGACCCGAAAGGTTCTTTGGGGCAACTGAGGCTTTAGTATCAACAGACTTTCATGACACTTGCCCTTCTATCCTATCACATCGATCCAGACAGTCTACGACATCGCACGATGAATTTTGCAGCAGCGGTCTGGACTTTGAAAATAATCATCGTTTTGGATCGATTCTTCGTAGTAAGTTGGCGCTCTGGGAAGACCTTGCTTGTGAGAGCTAACGGGGAACAGCCAAGTATGCCGACAAGGCACAATCGATCCTTAACGAACTTCTGCCATAAATTATCTTGTCAGGATCCTTTATACACCAGGAAAAGCATAGCCGCTCATTGTGGACAACCAGAACCAGATTCAGTACAAGCATGCACCGCAAGTATTCCACGATATCTGGATGATCGGGATACTGGCCCGTTGAACATGGAGTGAAGGTGAACAAAAGTTCATTGAAGAGAATTTCCGTCTCAAAACCGAGCTGTTATTTTAATTATTTCGGAAAGCCCTGATAGTGATATCTTTTACTTAGCACTTTATGGCAGCCTTTCAGTATAGCCTACAGGATTTACCTGCGATGTCTATTATACCAATTCCTTCCAATCATCCGATGGACAAGAATCAAGTCTGGCCACCTTTGTCTTCCATGGGTATATGGACAGTGTTTGCAAGCAATGGCCGGGTGCCCTAATCCCGATGGAAGAGCAGTTCGTTTGAAAGTATCCCGGCATTTGCATGCATTCAATTGTTCTCTTCGTTTTCGAACTTCAGTACAGGGGACAGATGGGAGGTACTATGAGCACACACAACCTGCCCAACAAACGGCTTCATTCCTCGCCTTCAAAGGCCTCACACCTCGCGCACACTGCACGGTTCGCTAGAATGTGTGCCCGCCAACACCCAGAGATCCCTACCGAACAGTTGAACTTTTCATCGACAGCATGTTGCTAATAGCGTGTTCTTCCAAGAAAATTGACTACAAATACCGTTATACTTCTCTCTGTAACTACAATAAACAACAGATCTTCCGAACCCTACAGCACTCAGATACAAGGAGATAGAAAACAAAATGTTTCAACTCATCAAGAAGCTCTTTACACGACAGAGTTCTAACTCTGACAATGAACCCAGGGGCGCTTTTCATAGATTCAGCCAACTGCCTCAGGAAATCCAGAACTTGATCTGGGCATATGCTCTCTGTGTTGATGCTCCGCGGGCGTACTTCGTGGATGTCAAGGACTTTTCTGGGTGGCCAGGGGAGCTCAGAATCGCACACTCGATCCCTGCAAGTCTCGGTAGTCTCCCTCTCCCGCCTGCTTCAAATCTCGGAAGTGATTATGACCTGATGCGAGTTTGTCGAGCATCGTATCAAGAGATTATTCGCTGCTGGACCCTTTATCGGCCAAAGGTTCCCGCACGCATGTTACTCGACAACTCGCATGACAATGCTATGAGGGTGAAGGAAATCAGCAACCTTAACATCGACGCAGCCAGCGACTTGATCATTGTCGAGAGATGGTGTCACGGCAATACCCGTGTAAGCGAGTTTCAAGGCGTCCGGGATTTCTGGCCGCCGAGGGGCAATACATACGACGGTTTAGTAGACATCCGAAGGGTAGCTATACCGGTTGACAAGAATCTTAATTACAACACTAATTGCCGTTATCTGAAAAATCTGAAAGCCGTGTTTCCTGGACTACAAACACTATATTTCTACATGCAACCAGCTCAACTGGTTCCACTCGAATTGCGCCACAATCGGATGCCCGCTGACTCCCTCGCCGCTCAGCCATGGCCAGGTAAGGAGCCGCCAGAAAGCTTCAGGGCTCGCGGCCGCATATTCTACGAGATCAGTCCTCGGGAGATGAAGCGCGCTGGAATTAACACGGATTTGTATGTTGAACCGTGGCTGAGGTCGAGGCTGAGGTGGAGGGGGAGTCCGAATGGCATAGCTTGTATTAAGTTCATCACTTGGCAATGGATCCAGTGATTTATTCACTGAGAGTTATGGATTTTGAGTATTGAGGTGATTCCCAACACTTGGGCATAGACTGGACAGGTTGGCGTTTGAGCCTGATGATGGAGTGCATGTTTGGTGTTTCGGAGTTACAGTCTTGGGCTTTATGATGATGGTCTGAACATAGAATCAAATGAACAACCATAACAATACCTCCATTGCTCTCATAGTATATCTTTTGATCAGGAATAGTGACTCTTTTTAACTATGTTCCGAGGTAAATCTGTTCACACTAACAGCTCATGTAAGTGGTGCACGTGATGCGGCAACCAAACCGCAGAACAGCAGTGCACGTGATCGCATGGAAGCTGCTCGGCAGTCCAGCAGCACCTCTTTGCGTACCTCCCCTCCATCGCTATTATACACGGCGAAACCGGAGCTACCTTATCAACTTTCGGTTCGTCGCAACTCATACAATTTCTCGAAAGCAATTCCTCTCTATTCTTCTGTCTCTAAATTAGATCGTTGATTTCGAAAACCGCATAAACAATACACGAAACGCCAGTTCCTTTACATCCGAGGCATCGAGTGCCATCATGATATCGACCCCGCCACCCCGCTCACTGCGCGACAAGTGTCTCGAGCTGCAGCAAAAGGTCGAAGCGTTCATTGCTGAGGAGGCTGATACACAGACATTGCGCGATGTACAGAATCAGGTTCGCAAGTCGATAGAGGTCGTGGATGAGGCGTTGCAGAAATATCGGTGCGTTCGTCGGATGGGAAGGTCGGATAAGGGCTGACGGAAGCAGACCGGAACAAATATCGTTATCATATAATGGCGGAAAGGACTGTAAGTCGCATAACGAGGGTCTGGGGCTTTATCACAGTCCCTTTCACGGCCGTCCATGTCTCGGCGACAAATACTAATCATCCCAGGCCTTGTCCTTTTAATCCTCCTCCTCGCTCGCATGGGCCGACACTACTATTCCACATCCGACACGACCAACGGCACTTCCGAACTCACACCCCCCGAGAAGCTCCAATGTGTATACATCGTCGCGGCGCATCCCTTTCCCGAAGTCGACACCTTCGTCGAGACATCCAGTGAACAATACGGCCTCGAAGTCGCGCGCTACGTGTTACCGATGAAGAAGGGGCTAGAGATATACCTTGAAGAGCGACCGAGTATCAAGGCTGTGTTTGTGGGAACGAGAAGAACGGATCCTCATGGCGAGAACTTGACGTTCTTTGATCCGACGGACGCTGGCTGGCCGTCGTTTATGAGAATACACCCTGTTATTGACTGGCATTATGGTACGACCCTCCCCATGGCCCTTCGGCGTTATTCCTACAGGCGTACAACAAACAATTGCTAACTTATCTTTTGACAGTTCAAATCTGGGCTGTAAGTTTCCACCGCCACTATGCGCCGAATGAACTAACATGCCAAGTTTATCCGACACCTCGGCATCGAGTACTGTCCCCTATACGACCAAGGCTACACGAGTCTCGGCGGTATAAAGGACACGCATCCGAACCCCCATCTGAAGAAGCAGGGTCAGAACGGAGAGGGTTTCCGACCGGCATATGAACTAACTCAAGATGACGAAGAGCGACTGGGTCGCGATTCATGAGGTGACTGTATTTGTAAGACATGTTGATGTTGCATAGGAAGGCATTCTATAGAGCATAGACTCGTGGCGTTTGGGTAAATCGTCTCACCATCTCATCGCATTTAGCTATCACATCGCTTCTGTGCCTGCCAATCATGCGCTTGCTAGACCTCGTCTACAGGCACCTGGTCTACATACTCCTCAAGCCTCTTATACGTCTCCCTCCTTATGTTTGCCGCTTCAGCAACATGTCCTTGTTTTTGCAGAAAGGCTTCTAGCTGCCACATGTCATGTATAACCTGCGGCGAGGTACTGGAGTATCCAAATTCTCGCAAGGCAATCTTGTTTCGCATTCTGTCCGCCACATCGACATCCAACCCGAGTTCTCTATCAACGTCCACAAGTACCTTCATCAAATAGGCCATAACCCTGGCCTGAAACCGTGTGTGGGACTGCAGTATCTCCTCGCTTGGCTGTTCGTCAATCTCGTCAAGAACCCGACTCTTGAGTAAACCCAAACGCACAAGGCTTGCTATGTTTGACTCTCCAAATGTCATTGTGCAGCGATGCTGTATTGCTGAGACGCAAAGCGCTTTTGTGATCTGGTAGTCTCTCGGTAGTTCTGTTTCCTCCTTGGAGTTAGAATCGTTGAATAGAACAGCCTGTTGGAAATAGGAATCCTCGTGTGGAATCTTGCTCTTCACCGCTGAGAACCACTTATCAAGGCCATCCAGTTGATCCTCGCCAAGTTTAATACAGGAAGATTCCCAAACGAGGCGGTAGTACATGACCAACAGTCTCGAGTCGTAGTTTCTGCATATAATATCCGCATTCAAACCCCAAGCCTGCTCCAGAAGTTTCATTTTCTCAAGTGTAGCATGCTTCTCCCAGAGATACACCGCTTTTTGCAAGCTTTTCAGCATCTTGATAACGGGATGTTGCATCTCATGGGTATTACTCGCCAGCTCAACTAGTTGCATGAGAAGCATACCAAGAAGCTGTGTCTGACCAAGACGAACCATGTGATACATAATTTCCAAGACATTCCAGATGAATAAAGGCGCCTCGACCTGTAGCATATTCTCGATGTCTAGAAAGGCCTTTCGGGTCAAACGGCCTGCTAGAACGCCTTTGCCGCGTTGGATGAGCTCAACGATGGTCCGGAAGGCGAAACTTAATCCTTCTGGATCATAACGGTTGATTTTAGCAGTTCGTGGTGATGAATGGATGTTTTGTAGATGCAGCCCATCGGTATAGAGAGATTCATAGAATGAATTGCTCCAGTCGTGTATGCTTGTGAGAAACTCAAGACTACTTGTCTCCAGGGGATCTGGGCTCGGAGAGAGAATAAGTGACTGACGGTGACATGGCATAGCGTTTGGCTTCTTTTGAGTCTCCGGTGTGTTTTTTGGAGTCGGTGTCTTGCTCTTGCAAGCAGTCTTCACATTTCTTTGTTTTGATTTATAAAACCCCCATTTTGTGAAGCGTCTCTTATACATCTGAACACTAGTTCCTAGGTGAGATTTCAAGAATACCAGGGAGATGGGTGACCTTACGATGCCTTGAAATTATGCTTCTCTTCCATGATCTGCATGATATGTCGAAGTTTTCTTCGATCTTTCATGTACAATCTCTCGATAATGGGATAAACAGCTGTCCATTCTGCTTCTCCGTGATGCATTGAGATGACCGGCTTGTTCGGAGGTGATGGTGGATCAGAGGGAGGTTTGGCTGCGAGCAGGGTCGTCTTGAGCACCATTTTTGCAGGTTTCATTGATAGTTATTGAATTATGAGTTCGAGAGGAGTGAGAGGCGGTATATCTCTTTGAGGGAGGGTGATAATGGGCATGAAAGGCATGATGAAAGCGGCGCATCTCACCTGAGGAAGTTAAGGTGGCTGACTAAACGCGGGTAGGCCAATAGGGTAGGTTCAAGCAGTAGCCCATGAGGATTTAGCAAACATTCTTTCATATGACAATAGAATTTAAGGGAACATGCTTTAAAATAAATTTCGCTCTAGTTTATCTCAATAATTTATTATCTTCTCTGTTACGAGCCGAACGTGCCTTTTGCGAGAATTAAAAGGCCTGTGAACAATATTTCCGACACTTGTTGTATCTTGATGGCAGATATGCTGTGGACGGAGGAGACAGTTTCTTCATCCTGCACTGGTCCTTGAAGGGAGAGCCAAGAGATGGGCTGTACGACTGGGCGATGCTGACTATATGATTGCTAACAAGACGAGGTATCCTGTGCTTATGTCTACCGAGTCAGGATAGAAGATTACGGAGACTGTATGGAACAAAGGTTTGGAAGAACTCGAGATTACAGCGGCTCTTGGCAGGGCAGACTAGCAGTTTAAATGCCCGCTTGAAGGAGCCCCTTGTACGAATTGGGCACTATACAAGACTTGATCGTGTAAGTTGGACTGATCAGTTTGATGAGATTCAGCCGGGGCTGATGATATGATACTTGACAGATTCACTCCTCCAGCTAAGGGACATTAAGCGAAATCATAGACGTGCGATTGAAAACCCCACCGATAACCCCATCATCACGTTGAGATGAGACGAAAAATAAGCTATCACCAACGGCTTCTAGCGCCGGGTATCTGAAACATGAAAGGGGTGGATCAGGATCATCTTATCTTGTCGGCAGATCGTGGCTCAACACAGGAATTTGAGCCATTTGCTTGTTCTACTCACTCATATTACAGTTTGTCTATCTGCCAAAAAGATCGAAAAGGTGTTAGAGTGCAGATAAGAAGGGTACCCAAATGATTGTGTCTGTGTTGTTGATCATCTGCATATTTAAGCGCCACGCTCAGATTTATCCGCCCCGTTCCTGAACTAACAATCTGTTCCTGGACCTCCCCCTACATGGATAATTGGTCAACAACAGGGCAACATGCAAGGAACCAACAATCTTGACATTGCCGAACATCCAATGCCAATTTACCCGGGTAATCAGCACAACCTGGGCCGATCTCTTCGTCACGATACGCTATCACCATTGCCAGTTTCGGTCCCTGGCCCGACAAAATATGCATCCCTGTCACAGACCTGAGACGAAGCGGGACATGCCAGGGGACTTGTACCACAAATTACTGACGGAAGATATTTTACCGTAAGGTTAAAGGACACAAAGGCTCCCGTATAGACGTATACAGATGGGACGATCTACATGGGCTTTAATGATGCTGCAGCGGCTAAGCTGGAGGTGTACGCATGGCTAAGCTAACGAATGGATATATATCATGATCTCGGGTCCCGCATCTATACTCGCTTCTTTCTTATTAACAAACGCGAGTCGTTTATTAACATTCCTTCCTTCTTTTTTCCCTTCTTTCAGTAGCCCAAGAAAAGCAAAATACACTCATTTTGTTTGCCTTTCTAACCCTACTACACACTCCTTTTTTTCACAAAAATGCACAAGACTACACTCCTTGGACTTTTGGCCTCGAGCCCCGTCTCGGCCCAGCTTCACAGCCTGGCGCAGGCCGCTGGACTCAAGTACTTCGGCTCAGCTGTCGATAACGGATATCTCAGCGATGCCCCCTACAGCAAGCTAGCTGATGACGTCGAGGAGTTTGGACAGCTCGTTCCCGAGAACGGACAGAAGTGGGAGACTGTTGAGCCTAGGCAGGGCGATTTCGTTTATACGACTGCCGATGTTGTTCCGGATCTTGCGAAGAAGAATGGGCAGATTTTGAGATGTCATGCTTTGACTTGGCACAGCCAGCTTCCTACCTGGGGTGAGTGATACTGCATGTTTGGGCTGGGGTGTTGTGCTAATGGATATAGTTTCTTCTGGTGCTTTCTCTGCTGAGGAGCTCACTGAGGTCATCGAGGCTCACATCGCCAACGTTGTTGAGCACTACAAGGGCGACTGCTACGCTTGGGATGTAGTAAACGAGGCCATCGATGACAGCGCTGAGTGGCGAGACAGCGTCTTCTCTCGCACCCTGGGAACTGACTTCCTTGGCATCTCCTTCAAGGCTGCCCGCAAGGCTGATCCCGCCGCTAAGCTGTAAGTCCTCCTCTCTTCATGATATACATGTGTCTGACCTTTTAGGTACTACAACGACTACAACCTTGAGCAGAACGGCGCCAAGACTGACAAGGCCGTCGAGCTTGTCAAGCTTCTCCAGAAGGAGGGCGCTCCTATCGACGGTGTTGGCTTCCAGGGCCATCTGATCGTCGGCGAGACTCCTTCTCGCTCTGAGCTCGCTGCTACCTTCAAGCGCTTCACTGATCTCAACGTTGAGGTCGCCATCACCGAGCTTGACATCCGCCACGAGTCTGTCCCCGCTTCCGCCGCTCAGCTGAAGACTCAGGGTGATGAGTACGCCAATGTTGTCGGTGCTTGTCTCGACACCAAGGGCTGTGTCGGTGTTACCGTCTGGGGTATCACCGACAAGTACAGCTGGATCCCTGGTGTCTTCGAGGGTAATGGCGAGGCTCTTCTCTACACCGACGACTACGAGAAGAAGCCCGCCTGGACCAGTGTCTCCAGCCTTCTCGCCGCTGCTGCCACTGGAGCTCCTGCCACTAGCTCTGTAGCTCCCGTTGAGACTACTGCCCCTGCTACCACCCTCGAGACCAAGACCAAGCCCGTCTACACTGTCCCTGGCACCACGAACTACATGAACACCACCGCTCCTCAGACCGAGCAGACCCGCACTGCTCTTGCTACTGAGACTGATGATAATGATGACGACTGTGCCGAAACCGAAGCCCCTTTCCCTACCTATGCTATTCCCACCAACGGAACACAGGTCTACCCTACCAAGGCTCCCGTCGACGATGACTCCGATGATGACTGTGCCGCGACCGAGGCTCCCATTCCTACTCAAGCCCCCGTTCCCTCCGGTGACTGCGATGAAGATGATGGCGAGTTCGAGCCCACCGTCGCTGCTGTCGAGCCCACCACTCGCGTCCCCGTCATCCGAAGCAGCTCTGCCTACACCTACAAGTGGAACACCGAGACAGCTGCTCCCCAGGTTCCAGCACCCACAGGCACTGCCCCTGCCTACCCCGTTGGAACTGGCTCTGGCGGTGTCGTCAAGCACTACTACCAGTGTGGTGGTAAGAACTACAAGGGCCCTACTGAGTGTGAGAAGCCTTTCAAGTGCGTTGAGCACAACGAGTATTACTTCCAGTGCGTCTAAGGTATATAATTGAATAGGATTTGGGTGCTTTATTCTTCATTACTACATGTACATAGTTATCTCTACATAATTTAGAGTTCCTTGCTTGAAGCAGGAATTGTTGCAAATTTCGTCCCATACTTGTAGTGATTTTGGTGACACGAAGCATCTTTGTCGGCGTCTTGAATTAGCGAGACATGAGCTCGTTTAGACCGTCAGTATTCCATCAGCGATCTACATTGAGAATCAGTACCTGTAGTTGGTCCCGGAGTATTTGACTTACCAGTCTGCCCCATAACTTGACTACGTCCATTCTGAGATGAGGAGGGAACCCCGGTCTGAGTCTCACAACCTCATTTACAAACTTTTTGAAGTTTATGTCTGTCATGTACACAGAGAAGTCCTCATTGTTCATGATTTCGAGTTTAGCAAGGATGGTACCTGTCACATTCCCGATCGAGAGCTCACGCATGTCCTCGGTAGTGAGATCCATTACATCTGTCTTCGGTTCCTATTTAGCATATTTAGCATTCCTGTCTCTTCCTCCTAGCAAAACCATAAATTAACTTACACCGTAGACCTCCTCACGTACTTCTGCAGCCCAATTCTTCATGAGCCAGTACGCCATCATGTCTGGGGTACCAGATCGGACCCTCACAACACAGTATATGAACCTGTGAAACGCCCAATCGCAATGGAAACATTCGCTGAACTTGTCCGCGTCCATTTTATCGAGCTTTTCGAGACAATCCTTTCTTGGACCGAAGTGGGCAAGGCTCAATAATTCGCTGTTGCTGAGGAAATTCGGGTCCGGTTTGAACAAAACACGATTCTGTAAGTCTGAAATCAGATTCAATGTCTAACGAGCTTGGGGGAGGGATCCATACCATGTTGTGTGCTGGAGTTACGTGGTGCAACATCTTAATCGAGAAGAATTGGATTCGTGTTATTGAGAAGTGCGTCAGAAATATTTTAAAGAATAAGAAATTATAAGAAAATGCTAAACTGTTGGGTTTATATATCTAGCCTTACATCTTTATAGACTTTTCCTGAAGGTTTTGTGTACTTGGTATATTTTGTATGTGTAGGCGAAGTATTTTGAAGTAAATCAGGAAACTTTAGGACTTTCTACTCCCCTTCGCTTTCTGTCATACTGTTTTAGTTTCTCTGTATTGACGCAAAAGCATATGTTCTAAGAAAGCTCTCTAGAGGTCGCTTTCCGTTATATGGTTCATTATCATCGGCTTTAAGCCGAGGTTGATGACTTGTCTACGAGCATATACAGACCAATCTCATCTCTGGATGGTATTTTCGAGAAGTTTATCGTTTTCAATAAATTCATCCCTCATAAGGTTCGCGTAGAGTGAAGCCTAGCAGACAGGGGGGTATGAGAGGGTTTCGGATGTCTTCTATAGCGATTGTACAGCCCAGACAAGATATCATTTCATGGTTGCCTGTAGTCGTGTTAATACCGAGAACTGGAGAAACAGACATTAGTCTTGAGTGAGAAAGTAAAAGAATCCTCAGTCAGTTCTGGGATGAGATGAGCCTTGTATCTTCCAACTGACCTTCCAGAAGAATCCCAAGGTTTATCATCCAGTCAACCTACAATCCGGGAAATAATATGCCACTTTGTGTCGTAGAAGTTCAGCTCAATAAGCTTTTTCTTTACATCAGCACTGCACTGAAGCCTGTAGAAAGAATGTTATCACATAATTTCGCCATGATTCATTGAGCCATGCTATTTGACTCTGGGCATCAAAATTTGTTACAAGCAGAATGCCAATCAATATATCTTGATAGTTCTTAACATTAGCTGAAATTGGCCAATCACTATATAGGCCTTAAGTGTATGCATGCGGGTGGCATTGTGACTTCTAAATAAAGTCAGGGGCAAAACTTTATGTGAGTTTGAAGACTTGTAATTTGTTCATCCTTAAATAGGGTAACGAATCGACTTTTTAGATTCCTTTATTTCTTCCTAGAAAGAAACTTTCGTTTTGTGCAGAATCTGCTTCTTTTGCCTTTTGCTTCACATCTCAGATTATGCATTTAAATGCTCAACTTAGATTCACGATGTTACTTAACTAATATTCTATTGGATGAATGCGTTATACTTGACCTTCTGAGTCATCCCACGGCAGTGTCTTTTTTGTATCTACATCCCATAATGTATACATTGCTCTCCTTTAAACCTTCCTTGGCCGGGGGATTGGAGGCACCTTCTTATACGCCTCCAAGGTCGGCCAAAGAGTCATTATCTAGGTTTTCCTCTTATCAGCTTTATACTGTAGCAATTGGTCAGACATCTTGGTATAATGTCTAAGTTGTAAGCTAGAAGTGTTATTTGCCGCTGAGACCTGTGGCTGAGAGCTTGATCCGGTCGAGAGAAGATAGCCCTCCTTTAAACTTTTCTGATACTTATATAATCCCCTGCCATGCCCTTCTTCCACATAATTTCTTCTTTACTTTTAATCATTCTCCAAGTCTCTCTTCCCAATCTTTTTCTGTTTATACACAACCATCCCACCTTCATCACTCACCACTACCAGTCCAAGACATCACCTCTATAAACAAGCAACAATGTCTATATCAAAGCAAGACATGAAGTACCTTGCCAACGGCAAGGTCATTACCGAGGAGGCCCTCATTACCATCGCGGCAGCCAAACGCGATGACTTTGAGAAATGGTGCGGGACTCGCCAGTTCCAGCACTTTTTGATGAGAGCTCGGCTCGGGAGCCCATCAGATCCAATGACCCTCCCACGTCTTCAAAACTGGGCAGCTGACGAGATGTTCCATCTCAGAGTTAGTCTCTCGTCTGGGGTGCAGTGTACTCATGCTAACATGTACGTGCAGAGCTTAGAGGAGAGCCAGACACATACTGGTGGGAACCTTGGTTAAGGGACAACTTCCAAGGTTCCCACAAACAAGAAAAACATGGCAGATGTTAAAGAAGGCCCTCACTTTGTTGGTGATGACCTTATCGCATTTGCTTAAGAGTCTGGGCGCATCTGTTTTTTCTTTTCTCTCTCTTTCTGTTAGCAGGAGTTGAAGTCTGGTGGAATTACTCCCATAATGGGATCCGCATTATTTTATACGACATTATGCCAAACATTGTCAATTTGGCCCAGATCACTCTATTTCTTTTTAACTTGAATACATTTGAACACAGGTTCAGTTATACAGACAATTAAGTTCTTTATTAAAAATGTGTATTAACGTTATGAGGGGGCGGGTACAGACAAACCCCACAATCTTAATTCTGGTGTAGCAATATATACACTATATCAAGTCCCGAGCACGATACGGCAGAAGTATGGTGAAAAAGTCATGTCTACATCTACTTACAACATACTAATACACTACAAGTTTTCGAATCAATTAAGGCTAGTGCCATCAGACATGCCCAGGCTCACGAGGCTTCTGCATCGGGCACCCCATCCAAGGCTACAAAGTCCCTCAAGCGCAACGCGGAGCACGTAGATAGAGACGACAAAGGTAATGGAGGTCCTGAGGCTTCTGCATCAACCACCTCACTAACACCAGCATTGCGGATCTTATTCGGCGATCTTCCCCAGTCAAGTGCGACGAGAGAAAGGCCTAGCGACGTCATCATCACTGGTTGGTTAGTTAGTTGATAAGAGATAAGAAAATGTGGAAAATGCAAAAAATACATGCGACGGAGACAGGATTCGAACCTGCGCGGCCGAAACCAAAGCATATCGTCATTTCGAGTGCTTCACCTTAACCACTCGGTCACTCCGCCGTCATCTTTAAACCTTGACAAAGAAATTCGTGCTATGATGCTAGTTTGTGCGGCTGAGCATATCTTGAAATCTACCAGCTAGAATTCCGTAACATCCAATCACTTCTTCATCAAAATTCCCAAAGTGCTTACACCTGCTGCACTTATTGTACATTGCATATAAGACTGCAAGGTGTATTCATAAAGAATCACCATACTAGCTAGTTTCATAATTGGATTTGCCCCCCAATAGTACTAAGCTAATCTAGAGGTCCTGAGCGACATCGTCGTCTTCACAGCACAGAGCCTTACTACCAGTCCAACAGCAGCTGCCATCACCACATTGACTGCGTCCCCTCTCATCCCAGCCAGGCTCACATTCGCCTGCGCAGTAAGGAGCAGTGCCCTCCCATCGACAGCCAGCAACACCAACCTTGTCCTGCTCCTTTACCAAGTCCTTAACAACGTCCTCCTCTTCACAGCAGAGGGCTTTGCTGCCAGTCCAACAGCAGGCGCCATCACCGCATTGGCTACGTCCCCTCTCATCCCAGCCAGGCTCACACTCGCCTGCGCAGTAAGGAGCAGTGCCCTCCCACCGACAACTAGAAGCACCAACTGGTTTGTCTGGCACTAGTTAGTTGAAAGTGCCACTGGAGTATGCAAGTAGCTTACCGATAGCTGTTGCTGTAACTGCAACGGCAGCTGTGATAGAAATAAGGATCTTGAGAAGCATTGTAACTCTAGTGAGTTAAACGACACAGCAGGTTGCACTTGTTGGCTTTAAATATAACAGAGACAAAGAGGCAAGGTTGCTATCAGATTGAAGTGCATCTTCTTCCCTACTTATACCCTGGAGTCTCCCTTCTCAAAGTCGAGGATCAAGACTTCATTGTTGATCATATCAAAGCGTATAAATTGTGGCTGGCTGAATATGACCGTTTCGTGCATGTATCAGTTGCTTGGACCTCGAATGAGGCCAGCCCCGCTCCGGTGAGGATCGCTCAGCGAATGAATCTCAATTCAAGATGAGACAAAAGCCTGGATAGTATGTGATCAGCTCTTCTACTCCCTGAAATGCTGTTCATGTCTTGTTTGGGTCGATCCAGCTGAGAGCTGAAGCCTATCGTGACGTTATGAGCCTTACCTGGCGGTGATATCGAACCTGTCACTCCTGCCGCAGACACTATTGATGAACTAGTAGGGGCTCTGCCACGTCACACGGGCCGTCGGCTAGAGGCCTTGGACATACTTATCCTTGGTTGCCGTATTATTTATTCACTTGGTTCCTCCTCAACATAAGTTAACTCAATTCAATAGCGCTGGGGCTCACTTTTACCCCGCAAATTGACGGGCTGAAGCATGTGGGACAGCCAGTCACATCACTCGCTGAAGATACCCAATGGCATGGCTCAATTGACACAACCCATCAAAGAGCAGTTACGTTTCTTCTGTAAGAGAATAGCCAAGTCAAGATGATATCGTCATATGAAATCATTGGTGTTCAGTTCAACTTGGCCTGCAGTAGCTCATGTTCAACGAAATTACCCATCCTCATCATCCCCACGTGTATCCCCCTAGTCCCCCCAAACCACCAACGGACTTACACCAAAAGCCCCTCCAAGATCTACACTCCAACTCCACGTGCATCAAATCCGCATCGTCGTTGGATCTATAACTAAACCTCCCGATCCGCGCCGATAACCATCTTCCATTTTTGGTCACCGAGGAGCCGCAAAAACACTCACGCGAGTTATATCCGTCTTGGCTTTATTTGAATCAAGCTTAAAAGGAACCCAATGTAACTTTAAACTTTTTTCTCCGGGCTCAGCGGTGCTCGAACATCTCCCAACATGGTTGCTACGTCTTTTATTGTTCAGTTG